TTGCTATTTGTCACTCGTAATTAACTCAAAATAGAAACATTCGAGATATAATTAACGATAAGTAACTTTAGCCACTTCCTAAGTGTTTTGTTATATTCATGCATATTTATTGGAATTAACCTTTTAATATACGAGCAATAACCTAAAACGACAAATATTTTAGCACATATGGAGTCTTGTTTGGCGGCCGATTAATCGGTCACCGAGGCGGAGGCAGTCCCAAACTTTTATGATTTTGGTGTAAAGGTTTGAAAAATCGGGTTTTGGCCTATGAGGTGGTTTTAGGCGGTATGATGAGGGTTGACGCGGTCTGAGGCGGTCAAATGAATGCAGGTCAAACTTTGGGGGCAAAAATCGGTCAAAAATCGGTCTTTTTTTCTTATCTTTTTATTTTTTAATTCAAAATAAAAGTTGGGATTTAATACAAATATGAGTTTATGTTTTATTTTGCTTATGTTGACTGTTATTGTTAAAGAACCTAATGGTATATGCTTGGAATGTTCAAGAATAAATTTAAATTCAAAAAATTGTTTTTTTATTTATATTTATAAGAATTATTATTGTATTATGATCTTTTTTTTTTTTTACGGGAAAAACAAAATTATATTAGGCACTCATGGCCAGAAACGGAGGGAGGGTTACACCTTCCAATGAATCCAAATTCTTACGCGAAGCAATTTCGTGAGCTAGTTTATTGGCATCACGCCTTACAAAAGAAAAGGAAATAGAAGAGAAGAGACAAGTGCGAGCTAAAACCGCCTCAATAATAGCGCCGAATGAAGTAATTGAAGATCCTCGGCCATTAAGCGCATCGATCAATGGGAGACAATCACCCTCAATAATAATGTCAGGCCATCCTAAACTTAACGCCATAATAGTAGCTTGCAAAACAGCCCGAGCTTCCCCCTCGGCAGGTAACACGCGGCCAAGGTGCCGAAAATTCTGCCACCACACACTTTGACCTTGTGAATCTCTAGCAACCATAGATGTGTAATAGTGATCATTACCTTGCGGAAAAGCTGCATCAACGTTAATTTTAATCACCCCTATTGGTGGCGGAGACCACAAGATGGCATGGGACCGCTTGTCGACGATGCTACGACTCAAACGAGCTCCACGATATGATTCCATGTACGTGCTGCTCCATCCCACAATTTCCCCGAATGCCCGATATTCATCACCATGCAACAGCTTATTCCGGCGATCCCAAATACTCCAGAGAACCACTGCAGCCAGGTGAAACTGTTCTACGGAAAGCTCTCGGGCCAATCTGCTCACCCAGCTCCAAACCGAGGGATTCATGTCGCTAGTGGGTAGAGAAATTGATAAATGTTCCCACACCTTCCTAACTCCATGACAGTGAAAGAAAATATGCGGCAAGGAATCGGATTTTATTCCACAAATATCGCACAACGGGTCTGAGACAATCCTCCGCCGAAACAATTCAACTTTACACGGTAAAGCTTCCATGCATGCTCTCCATAAGAATACCCGAATTTTTGGTGGCACGTCAAGTTCCCAAAGCCATTTCCAGTTGTAAGAGTGCGATCCACTGTTTGAGCCGACCAAGCCTTCTCCAATCCGCAAACTATGGCGACTCATAATGTTATGATAGCAACTTTTAACCGTAAAATTACCCAAATTCGAGAAACCCCATATAATTCGATCAGTCGTTCCTGCACGTCCAATAGGAGTAGTAAGAATGCGTTGCTTGTCCACCGGCCAAAAAATATTATCAAGAACCTCAGTCTTCCACGAACCCGTATTACTGTCAATAAGGTCCGCTACCGAATTAGGGAAAGCCGAGTGCACGGGCCTGTGAGTGATAAGCTTTGGGCAGTTATCATGGAGAATCCACGGGTCGCCCCACACCGATGTATTCGTACCATCCCCAATTCGCATCCGAACACCTTCTTTCAAATGGCCGCGGGCCTCAACAATGGCTCGCCATGTGGCCGACGGACGATGGCCTACAACCGCAGCCCAAAAGTCCCCATTGTGGTAGTACTTAGCTCGCATAATCTTTGACAGTAAGAGCTCCGGCTTGGTAACAAGTCGCCAGCCTTGTTTCGCCAGTAGAGCGAGATTAAAACTCCGAAGATCCCGAAACCCCATGCCCCCATCTTCCTTCGGTTTGCATAGTTTCTTCCACAACCCAATGCGTCGTTTTATCCATGTCGTTCCCCCACCTAAAACGATGCGTAATGGCTTCAATCTCCTGAACCAAACCAATCGGCAGTAAAAAGCAAGACATAACATACGATGGGATTGCCTGTAGGACTGCCTTAATTAAGATTCTTTCCCCGCCTTAGAGATGTTCTGAGAATCCATCCCTTTATTCGGTCCCATACCCTATCTCTCAAGTATTGGAAAACCTCCTTGCGCGATTTTCCCAAAGCCGCGGGGAGCCCCAAATATTTTTCATGACTCACCACAACCTGGAAGCCCAAAATAGCATGTATAGATTCGCGGGTCTCCGGTGGTGTAGCTGGACAAAAACTAATTGTCGATTTCTCCATGTTAATCACCTGGCCAGAAACACGTGCATATTGGAGAAGAATTTGTCGGATTGTCCCAGCGTTATCCTCGTTTGCTTGGCAAAAAATTAGTGTATCACCCGCGAAACACAAACTCGAGACCATTGGAGCGGTCGGAGCTACTCGAAATCCTTGCAATCGCCCGCTTTCCGTCGTCCGTTGCACCATTGCTATAAGCGCCTCTGTACAAAGAATGAAAAGATATGGCGAAAGGGGGTCGCCTTGCCTAAGCCCCCGCGAAGGGACTATCGAACCACATTGCGATCCATTGAACAAACACGCGTAAGAAACCGTCGAAACACATAGCATAATCAGATCAATTAAACCAACAGGAAAACCGAACCTACACAGAACCTTTCTCAAGAAAAACCACTCAATGCGATCATATGCTTTACTAATATCTAACTTCATAGCCATAAGATTAGAGCGTTTCCGAGAGTTTGTTTTAATGAAGTGATTAATCTCATAAGCCACCAATACATTATCCGTAATTAGTCTTTGCGGCACGAAGGCACTTTGGGTAGGGGATATGATATCGCTCAACACTTTCTTGATTCTATTAGCTATAGCTTTAGAACCAATTTTATAAATAAATTGCAGAGGCTTATGGGACGATACTCAGTCATTTTTTCCGGTTTAGACACTTTAGGAATAAGGACGATATATGTGAAATTAATCGAGGGGGGAGAATTTTGTGGTTTAAGAATTCAAGCACACAATCAATGACACTGGAGCCTAATATTTGCCAATATTTTGTATAAAATACAACAGGGAAACCGTCAGGCCCTGGGGCTTTTAACGGAGCCATTTGAGAGATAGCACGAGTTACCTCATCGGCAGTGAAAGGAAGTGAAAGGTGTTGGGTAGCCTCACCGGAAAGCCTCGCCCCAATATGGTCCAGAACTTGATCTTATTATTGCTAAATTTTTATGATGTTATTAAGTTATATACATGATGGAGAAATAACTATGTTTAAATATCTTTTTATATATATTTTGAGTATTTATAAATAATGTCTATAAATATATTATATTAAATTTTAAAAATAGATTTATTTCTGACTTATCGCTGATTAATCACCGCCGCACCGATTAATCATAAGTTGGTGCCTAACCGCCTCCGACCGATTTCCACTTTTTACAACCTTGATTTTTATATATAACTAGTATTTATGCCCGTGCGATGCACGGGTGATATTCTAAAAGTGAAGAAAATAATTATCAAACAAATTATAACGTGTAAACAACTAATAAGCTCTTACATCTAAAGGATGCTTTCAAAGTTGATAAGCTGTTACATCTTATTTTTAGAATTAATTAAAAAAACATGGAAATAGTTGACATATAACTAATTGTTGTTACGAGCTTGGTTAATTTTATCATAAATATTAAATAAATATACGTCTAGAATAGATGGAAATAATATTGTGGAGTTTCAATGGGTAAAATCACAGTTCATATCCTTTTATTTGATCAAACCTTATGGACGTGTTTCATATTAATTCGAGAATAAATATATTTTATGTTGTATCTATTCATTTATTCACTTGTAACTTGCAAGATCTCATATGATATTTGACGACCATTTGGATCATGGGTTTATAGGATCGAATCGGTTCAATCGGGTTTTTGATTTTTTCTTTTAATATGTCATTATTTTATTAATTTTAAATTTTTAAAAATATTATTTTCTTTATATTTTTAATCTCCCACTTATTATTTTCACTTTTATGTACATCACCCCACTTTTTACTATATTTTATTGCTTATACTCTATATTTTTCCATTTTTTATTTTTCAAATATGACAATCGTCCACCCCTATTCGATCACCCATGATCATATCCGACAATCTTTTGACCACTCATGACTAGATTCGGCCACCCACTACAAAGTCAGTGAAGGTTCGCTCAAATCTAGCCACAAATAACCAACTCAATGGTGACTCGAGACGTTTTGGCCGAAAATCGGGTTCCTTGACTGACTCGTCAGTTCTCGGGTTTCTAAAACCCCTAAAGGTAAACCCTAAAGGGCGAATATATTAAAAAAAAAAAAAAAAAAAAAAAAAAAAAAGAAAAAAAAGAATACGTGGCAGCAGAAGACCCACCCAGTATTTATCACCGGGTGTAGGGTCGAAGAAGTCCTATAAAATTAACCTCACCCTAGACAAACCCTATTGTTAACTAAGGCAATCTCCATGAAAACTTATTTCCAAAATTCTATGTTTTCTCGTCCAAGGAAGGCAATCTCTCCAACACTAGTACTTACCAATAATGAAAACTTGCCATATTTGGATATGAGCCCCTCAAAACTTGCACTATATATATTCCAACACGAATTTTCTCTATGCATAGTTGCCCTTGTTCTCGTTATTTATTTCGTCCATTGTTTATTTTCCTGCAAATATTAAAAAAAAAAAAAGAAAAAAAAAAATCTTTGATTCTTTTGTACTTTCACTTGCATCAATGGCGGCTTACACCAAGTTATGTGTTTTCTTGTTCATGATGATGGCTTTCGTCGGCGGTTCAATGGGTGATCAATACATGGTCGGAGATTCTTCCGGTTGGAATAGCCAAGGCACCGATTACAAATCATGGGCATCCACCATACAATTCTACGTCAACGACGTAATTTGTAATATTCTTATTTCTCTCTCTTTCCTCGAATTCAATACTTATCACACACACACACACACATATGTAGCACGAGCACGACGTTAAATTCCGTGTTTTGATCAAAACGCTTTGACGCAAAAAGCACAACATTCAAACTAACTCAAGTCCGCTATAAAAGTTGAAGCTCGCAGCAATTAACTTCTAGTATCGAATAAAATTACTAGTTGATCTAATCCCATGGATTAATTTCGTAAGTAGTGACTAAATAAGAAGAGCATGATTTTGTACGTATACATTATAGATTAGGATATAATTATTGTTAAATTAGGGGTATTATTGAAAAATCACATATATTACTACCATATTTTAACAATCTAATGCTAGTCTATTTATTAACTAGATAATTAATTAGTTAGTAGAAAGCTAATCAAATGCAGTGTAGTCCAATCTAATCCGATACAGATAGGCAAACGAGGCCTAAATATATCATTATATTTTTAATATTTACACGCTCGATTTTACTTTACCTTTTTTTTTTCCTTTCTTATTATGTAAAACTCACTACTCATATTTATTTATTTTTTCGAAAACCTAATGCAGTTTTCAACTACAACCCACAAATCCACGACGTGATGCAAGTGTCAAAGGGCGACTACGAGGAATGCATCGCCGGGAATCCACTCGCCTGGTACAAGAGCGGAAGCGATACGGTGCAGTTTTTCGCTTCCGGAAACTTCTATTTCATCTGTAGCTACCTGGGCATGTGTCCATCGGGGCAGAAGGTTGAAATCAACGTCTTGTCGAGGAACACAACCGATAACCCCACTCCGATGACGCCACCTCTCTCCACTCTAGCGCCGCCACATGTCCACCCTTACTATTGGGGGTTCGATAATGCAGCATCAACAAATCCACTATGTTTCTACCACCACTTCGCTCTTCTCGTTTTCGCTTCATGCGTTTTGTTTTTGAACCTGCAATAGAGGCAGTATGTCATCAAAACTAGAATCGGGATTTATTTTTATGAATTATTATGATTTTTGTCTTTTACGATACGATAATTACTCGACTTCTTGGAGTTTTTACTAGTTATTAACAAGTTTTCGATCAATTAAGGATGTCTTAATTACCTCTTAGTGCTTTTTTTTTTATCATATGTTTCCCACTTTAATTATGTCATTAGTGGTACGTACGAACCATGAAATAGAGAAAACAAATTGTGTTTTCAAATATTTTTTATAAAATAAATAAATCTACACAGAAACATATATCTGCACATATTAGTAATGTAATATTAATGCATTTGAAATTAAACATGTAACAATTTTTTGCACGTTATAGTACGTTACTACAATTATTCTATTAGTGATATTTTATAAATAATTCTAAATTATTTTGGCATTGTTTTAAAATATGTCCGTTTCGACCGCAATATTGACACAACTCTTTGCAATATAACTTTTCCGGCAAACCTCGTAAAACGTCGAGCTCCTCCTCCGCCAATTATATATTAGAGCAAATTGTACCGTAGATACTAAACCTAGTGAAATAATCCCGGGTCTTTTTGCATCTTCGATTTATATCGTACAATATACATATGAAGGTGTGTAAGCTGTTTAATTAGTAAATTAAATAACAAATTGTTGGAACAATTGAAGAAAAAAGGGTAATTAATTGAGAAGAAATCACTCCATTTATTATGGGAAAAATCTTCTAAAACAAGCAAAAACTATATTATGCAAGCTAATTAATCACTTCAAAAAAAAAATACACACGTACACACACAAAAATGTATCACACGTACCGGAGTTATTTGCCAATTCGAGATTTTACAGGGGAGGTATTTGCAATTAACTCATATTTTATATGCTAATGGGGCCATCTGGATTATTCAGAGCTGCTATGGCAGCTTCTATCTTTGATCTCAGTACTTCTTCCTCCTCTTCACACGCCTGAAAGATTAAGAAATAATTAAATAAATAGACAAAAAATTTAGTAATATATTTAATAAAATTAAATAAATAAATAAAAATTGATGCAGTGGACCAGATAAGTCTGATAATTGATTTTTTTTACTTATTATTTTAATTTTATACAAAATATTTTGTCCTAGATGCTGACAACTACTTGAGCAACATGCATTTTGTCCAAATAATTTGTTTGACCTAGTTATTCATATCATTGATATCTCCTAGGGTAAATTACAAAAAAAAACCCCTAAACTTAGATTAAATTACAAAAACCACCTCCACCTATTCGTAATTATCAAAAAAAACCCTGAGGTTTGTTTCCGTCTTACATCTATTCACAGATTTTTTTTTATTCCAGGTAATAAACTTTACACGATTTCAGATATATTTTCTTTTATTTATAACCTATTTAACAGAAGGTATAATAGACCGTACATATTTTCTGTTACAAAACTCGATCAACAGTTAATCAGAGGGGAGTTTTGGTTATTACGTATAGGTGGAGGTGTTTTTCGTTATTTACCCTAAGTTCAGGGAGTTTTCGTAATTTACCCTAAGTTGCAAGCCTGCCAAAACAGACGAGCTCGGCTCGTTCACACCCCTATTCAAAATTATGAATGCAGATGTTTCACTACTCAGCTAGTGTAGGTAAACTAACCTTGAAAGAGAGAGAAAGAGATCTAGAGAGAGAGAGAGAGAGTACCTCAAGAAAAACAGTCTTCGAAATTGTTCCAGAAAAAGCAGTCATATTTGCAGTGACAATTTGGAGGTTCAAAGATTCAAAAACCTTACACAACTTCCCCATTGTATCTCTTCTTTTACTGCATGTTATGCTAACCACTACTGTTTTCTCTCCCATACTCGATACCCTCAACTGCAACACAAAAAAAAAAAAAAGTCTTTTTAATTTCTTCAAATTGATAAACGTATACCCAATATAAAAAAAAAAAAAAAAAAAAAAAAAAAAAACCGACCTCAAGAACTTCGATAGGAGATGGCATTATAACTACATCATTATTATTATCATTAGACAATGCAGAATCACCATCCAATACTACACTTGTTCTCGTCGGCATCCGTAATTCCAACTCCGTTATTTCTGCCTGCATATGTTTTTCTTCGTCTTGCAGTAATTTTACGTACTCGATTACAAGTTTAACTAATGATGCTTTGTCCATCTATAATTGATTAAGTGAAAAAAATTATTTAATCCAAATTTGAAAACACTGCTGATGAAAATCAATATAATGCTATCGCCCTACGACAATAATACATGAGAGCGGTCGGGTGGGTATAATAATTAATTAATTAATTAACTAATTAAGGATAGACAAAAAAAAATAACATTAGTAATTTTAATTAATTACCATTCAGATTGGGATTTCAAATTTACAGTAATTTGAATAGTAAAGGAGTGAAGATGAGAACACATACTTGGAGATTGAGCACTTAAACCTAAAATTAGGAATAATTGAGAAATTGGAATAATTGAGAAATTGGAACCTAAAATTAGACATTTGATTCCCAAATTAGACAAAAATCCCATAATTCAAATTTCCAGCAAACACAAAAATAAAAACCCCAAATTTCACTGTGAAAACAACGCACAAACAAAACAAAACAGAACCTAAAATTAAAAAATAAAAGGTGGAATCTAAATTGAAACAAACAAAGCCAGAACCTAAACAAATAACTTTCCTTGAGATTCTAGCACTCGGAGGAACGGCGGTGCAAGTGAAAGGTAGAACGGCGGTGGGAGGCGGTGCGCGGCGGGGTGGTGGTGAGCGGCGGAGTGTCGGTGGATCTAGAGAGATGGAAGAGAATGGGAGTTGAGAGAGAGAATAGAAACCTGAGAAAGAAGAGAAAAGTAGGCGACAAGAGAAAGGATCAATTTCATTTTCCCCCTTGTACCCTTCTATACTCGATTGCATCAATTTGCCCCATGTACTTAAAAATTGTCTCAATATGACCCTCGCCGTTAGTTGTCAGACATTTGATTTTAACACTGTTTGATTATAGCTCTGAAATTACAAAAACGCTTCCTCTCCTAGTTTAAATAATTATTAAAAAGAATTAAAAAAAATTAAAAAAATTTAAAAAATTTAAAAAGCAAAAAGTAAAGTAATAAAAAATTCAAGAGAACGAGAAAACATAGTCCACGACGCTAGCCATAATTTTTTTTTTAAATAATTATTTAAACTAGGAGGGGTGGTTTTTTGGTAATTTTCAGACTTAGATCAAACGGTGTTAAGGTCATATGTCTGAAAACTAACGGCGGAGCCACATTGTGACAATTTTTTGAAGTACAGGGGGTAAATTGATGCAATTGAGAATAGGGGGTAAAGTGATATCAAGTTAAAGTACTAGGAGGAAAAGTGGAATTTAACCCAAGAAAAAACATGTGTTTAGGGTTTTAAACTGCCTATTAAGGGTAAATTGGTCATGTCACTTAACCCCAGGGGTAGACATAGCCACGGGTTTGGTCCGACCCGCCGAATCCGGGTCCAACATTTTGGGGAATCGAAACAGAACAGTAGTGAGGCACATCCGAGTCGGGTCCACTCGGGTTCCCCTGGGTTCGGGCCGGTTCCGGGGCAGGGCTCCAAACCAGATTTATAATTCAAATATTGGGGGGGCAAATTAATACCAAAACAAAATAAAATAAAGTAATAGACAATGGGCACTTTACAAATAAGTATATCATTGGGTACTTATTCATAAAGATCTTCAGACTATAAACTCTTTTACAAAAAAGTACATATATGGTCTAGAGGTTTGTAAAAGACTAAAATAGCCCATCATACTTTAATATGCTCCAATTTCATCATTTAATTTGATCTAACTTCAATTTGACCCCAAATTTCAAAAATTATTCAATTTTGACCCAAAACACATTTTTATGGACAATTTCATCCGTCACGCCAGTCAACCGCCGGTCTCCGGCGTTGACCGTTTTCTTTTTTTTTTCTCTTTAACATCTATTTTCTCCACCATTTAAACAACAATATTGTTGTGATTGACAGTAATATTAACTATATTACTGTTAAACACAATAAAATTAACTATATTACTGTTAAACACAGTAAAATTAACTATACTACAGTTTAACACAGTAATATTGCTATATTAATCTCTAGCACAGTAATATTAACACAACAAAACTCATTATTATTGTGTAATAGAGTAATATTAATATGTTGACCGTTCAACAAAGGTAAACATAATAAAAGGCCAAAAAAATTAATATTACTGTGAGTGACAGTAATATTACTATATAACAACAATAATATTATCGTCAACCACAGTAATATTATTGTGTTTACAGTAATA